GTGTGCTTAGTATTCCTTTGGTCTTCTGTAACAGCTCCAGCACCCAGTGACAGGAGTTTTTAAAGGACTTTTGGCAGGCTTTTTTCTAGGCAGAGACTTCATGCATACCTGGAGGGGAGATAATGAATGTGGTCTCAGCAAAGGGAATGTCCATAGTGAAGTGACCTGAAAAGCCAGTTTTCAGGGGAGTGGTATCAATTCAATTGCTTGATTAAACCTAACATTGTTAATTGAGAAAGTGGATGATGTTCAAGTAATAGAATATGATAGAAAGATATGCATCAGCCCCTCCCCTTTGAACAAGTTGTGCATGTACCAGCCAGGGTTTGGCCAGTAAAAGGAACCACTCTAGATATTTCAAGTAGGAAGAAATGTAGCCCAGGGACACAAAGTTTCAAAGACCTATTAGAAGGTCAGGGGAAGTGAAGTTCAGAGACAAATGCAGGAATTCAGGAAGTGCAAGGATTGAAAGAAGTTGCAGTTGATAACATGCCCTTAGCGGGTGATGCTAAGGGTATTCCAGGTAGCCATTTGCAAAATCACATTTACTGTCTGCAGAAAGACATGTTCCTACCTGCGGCTGCCAATGGGGAATATGGTTTATCTCTTTTACCTTCTAAATCCCACTTGAGGGCTTCTCATTGACAGAATATGAACCAGAATTATTGTTAAGAGGAGAGTTTTTGAAATGTAGTTTCCTGGCCTCTAGCCCCACCTAGAAAGTGAGAATCTAAATGAGCAGGTATGATTTTGATTGTTAACAAGCAGTAGCAGGCACAGCATATAAGAATCTGGTCAGGCCAGCATCCCTTTGAAGTGGTGTTTTAGGTCTAGAACAGCCCTCCCCAATAGCACATTATGCAATTATGAAAATGGTCTATATTTATGCTATCCAATATGGTAGCCACTGGAGTCATGTGGCTATTAGGCACTTGAAAATGTGGCTAATGCAACTGAAGAACTGAATTTTTAGTTTTACTTAATTTTAATTTATTTAAATTTAAACTTAAATAGCTACATGTAGCTCATGGCTACTACCTTGAGCAATGTAGATCTAGAACTCTCTTTGATCCTATGCCCCCTCTCCCATTCCATTAAATGGAAGATATCGCCTGATCTGATCTGAAGTGGCCTTGATCCTGCCATCTGAATATTTGTTGTATTTGTGTGTCCAAGGTACGACTATCTGATGGATTTGGGGGAAGGATTTCACTGAACTAAGAGAATTGATCCTCTGACTACTTTTTGTGCCAGCTTGCTAATAAACATTTGTTGTATATTTGGTTGAATTCACTCTGGGATTTGCTTTCACCTTAACATACAATGGTAGCAAGGTAGCTGGGGAGACCACTGATATTTACCTACAGAACTTGATAACTGTGACAGTTAATTAGCCTTATCAGTTTGCAACATACACTTTTCTCCCAGAAATGTTTCCAAAAACCTTTGAAATCTGCAGAATCTTTGCTCTTAGGAAATATTAGCAGATGACAAAACAAAAACTACATAAATATTAATATAAAAATCAAGGGAAGGTGGTTGCCTTCCACTGAACACTTCTTTTTAATGTGAGCATATTTAAGAGTATTTTTTAAAAATTCATACATATAACACAAATGTCCTATGTATAAAATGGTTCCTAATTTATATGGTTGAACCTATATTTCACAGTGTCACACAGACAGCCCAATATTCTACAAAAGAACCCTGACTGCCAAGTGTACTACCACTTATATAACCATAGGCCTACTTGCTCCATATTGTAGGCCCTAGAGGCCTGGTGCATGAAATTAGTACACAGGGGGTGGGCGGGTCCCTTAGCCCAGCCTGCACCCTCTCCAATCCGGGACCCCTCGGGGGATGTCCGACTGCCTCTTGCAATCCGGGACCTCTGGCTCCTAACCGCTCACCTGCCTGCCTGCCTGATCACTCCTAACCCCTTTGCCTGCCTGCCTGATTGCCCCTAACCACCTCTGCCTGCCTGCCTGATTGCCCCTAACTGCTCCCCTGCTAGTCTGATTGCCCCTAACCACCTCTGCCTCACCCCATACCCAGGACCCAGGATTCCCTCCTCCGGCTGGTCGCAGGCACCCGGGACCCGAGCCAGCTTAGCCCGAGCCCTCCGAAGCTGCAGGGGACTGCGGGTGGGCGGTCCAGGGTCACGGAGCAGGCGGCTTGTCCCTCTCCTGGGCCGCAGGCGCAGGCACAGCCACTGGCACCTGGGACACTGGGGCGGGCGTTTGTTCTTCTCCCAGGCCATAGGTGCAGGTGCAGCCGTTGGCGCCCGGGACCACGGGGTGTGTGGCTTGTCCCTCTCCTAGGCCACAGGTGCAGGCACAGCTGCTGATGCCTGGGACCACAGGGCAGGTGGCTTGTTTCTATCCCGGGCCGCAGCCTAGCTGGTCCCCATTCCTCTCTTGTGAGCTCATTTGTGTCTGGCTGGTCCCCATTCCTCTCTTGTGAGCTCATTTGTGTCTGGCTGGTCCCCATTCCTCTCTTGTGAGCTCATTTGTGTCTGGCTGGTCTCCATTCCTCTCTTGTGAGCTCATTTGTGTCTGGCTGGTGCCCAGTGTTGAGTGTCTGAGCCGTTACAGTGTGATGGCGTGAGGGCATGACGACCATTTTCATATTAGCTCTTTATTATATAGGATTTTAAGCTCCTTTTGATTGAGTTTCCCAAAGTGCCTAAGTCATATTAGACCAAGGCATGTGCTTTCATGAATACATGATACATACTAGTATTTTCTGCCATACTGAAAAAGAACATTAGCAAATCAGATTGTCTATCATTTGTTTGCCTATCAGATAAAAAGAAAATGATGGTTTAAATGTTACTATTTTTCATTTTTCTTACACTTGAACATCTTCTGGTTTAACTTTCTTTCTGCATTAAAAATGTTGCTCACAAGATCTCAAAAACTAGTGTTACTTATTAATTTAAGATGTCAGTACATCATGAAATGATGTCACATTATTCATGGAATTCAGTTTACACAAACATTTATATCCTCATTAATTATCTCTTTACTTGAAGCTGGATAACACTAATTTGGAATTGTTATAAAAATACCATATATATAGGCCAGTCAGAGAAAGATAAGTATCACATGATCTCACTCATATGTGTAATTTAATGAACAAAATAAACAGATGAACAAAATAGACTCAGAGATATAGAACCATGGAACAGACTGATGAATTTCAGAGGGAAGGTGGGGGTGGGGGAACTGGGGGGTGAGAGATTAACAGGGGAACTTATATGCATATATGCATAACCCATGAACACAGACAACAGTGTGGAAGGGAGCGGTGGGTGTGGGGTGGAGGGGGTCAATATGGGAAAAAACAAAACAAAACAAAGGGAGCATCTGTAATACTTTCAACAATAAAGATAAATAGATAGGTAAATGCAATGGAATGCTTAAGAAAAAAGAATGCCGTAAATGCTATCATGAGAGGAAAGCCTAAGGAAACCAGTCACTGGAACGTTTGCTTGGTCTGCAAAGCCCCCACCACTGCTTCTAAATTACTTTTCAGCCTCAATACAATTCATATTTATACATAGGACATCCTGGGATTAGTGATTTGCAGTTTCAATTTGCAGACATTCCCTCACATCACAGCCCCTTTGCATTGGATATTCGCTTTGCTGTTAACCAAGGGGCAGATTGGAGGTAGGGGCACCAGGTGGGGAATGTGTGTCAGTTCATGGGGGTCTCTCCATACTGCTCAGCATAGAGGTCAGGTGTGGGGGTGGAAAGCAGCTTCTCCTTAAATGCCTATGAGAAAATAAACTATTTGTATGAATTATAACTACTCAAGTCACCCACAAGGGGCAGTGGGGAGAAAAGCCAGAGGGGGAAGGAAGACCAAAGGAAGAGACTCAATCCAGAAACAGTGGAGGTCTCTTCGAGGTACAGTTGGGGCCCTGTCATTCTGCCTCTACATTACCATGTTAATGCATTTTCTTATTTAGGGGGGCTCCCTCATTTAGCCCCTGATAACCCACAGTCCCTCCGACCAGGAAGATATTCTCACCAATCAGAATGTGTATGCGTTGGTCCTACTGGCCCAGCACACTTGTGGGGCTTACAGGTAAAGATAGTACTTACTGATTGACATGATAAAATGTTACTTTTATATTAGCCCTCAGATTCCAATGGTGGGTGCTTAAATCTCATTCAGCTTCTTGTTAAACCATATGAGGCTTTAATGCAAAACTAAAGACTCGTCAAGCCAATGGAAGGCTATCAGGTCAGTGTGCTGCCATGATAACTTAATCCAGATTAAAATAAATCCATCACTTTATTCAGTTCAATCATCAAACCTTTTGTTCTTAGCTGCAAGGAGGACTTAGATTACAATAAGTGTCTGTCTTCTTAGGTATTTCTGAGACAAGTGGATGCTCCTCGATTTTCAGCGTCTCAACAGAGCATTATAACAGGTAGTGCACAATCAATGTGCTGAAGTGATTTATGATAATCTTTATGTTCTCTCTGCCTATGGTAAAATTTGATGATGCTGAAACATTCTATTTTGATTCTTAAATTAGAAAAACAACCTAATGAATGAGGAACCATAACCTATTAGGCACTTTTGCTTGCTATTGAATTACTTTACATGGATTGATGGTGGAATTGGTTGGCTTTTTATAAGAGTAGTTAAAAGGACTTCTGGATTTTATTTCCTAAACAAGATTGTATTTCCTAAAGCAAGACTTTTGATGCTTTGAAAGGCAAAGTTGGAACCAAACTAAGCCATTTGTCAAGGTGTGTGTGTGTTTTTTTTCTTTATAAGCAGACTTGAAATTGTTCTTGGAATCTAACTTTAGATTGCTTGAGAGAGCTGTGACTGCTAATTTCTTAAAAGCAGACACCATGCTCCTTTGTTATATTGCTAATATTGATCCCCCCGCCCCCCCCCCCCAACACACACACACTACCTTTATCTAGGGATGCAGAAGGACACTGCTAAGGCTCCCTTCATTTATCTCTTTGCAGGCTTGTTGATCGGTGCTGGCTGCGCCCTCTACCCCTTGGGCTGGGACAGTGAGGAAGTTCGGCAGACTTGTGGCTACATTTCTGGCCAGTTTGACCTGGGTAAGTTCTTTTCATAGAAGACACTCCCTTTAGAGAAAAACCTATTTGATCTTTCATAGGAGCACAAGGTGGAAAAGGGATGAGGAAGAAAAACACATCCCAGTATTGCAGCCAGAATCATGTGTAACAATACCCGTACATTCATTGATCCTTCTGTTTTAGTGAACAGTCATTGATAATCAACTGTTTGTCTGAATTAGGGGAAATATTGTAGATACAAAGAAAAGAAATAATCCTTGCTCTGACGTGTTTATATTTATTGATTAATTCATTCAAAAATCATATATTTATTACTCATTGTAAATATTAAAAATAATTGTCTATGGAATTCCCATTCTGTCTGAGAAATAAAGCAAACAAAACCATCAAGGAAATGACAGTAAGGGCTATGCAATCTATAGCAATTTCCACTCCAGAGCAACAGACAACTTTATGACAGGGATAAGAATCAAACTGGGTTTTAAAGAAAGTGACATGTGTGGATTTTCTGGCAGTAGACAGAAATACCTTGCTGGCGAGGATTATGGTATAGCAAAGGCACAGGGGAGGAATGAGAAGAGTTCATCAGGAGACCATACAGAAACTGGAGAGGCGGGAATTCACACATTGATGAAGGGGCTTATGAATTTTCCTGTGTACTAATTAGAACATTTCAGATATTTTTCACATGTAGATATAGTGTATTCTGCTTAGCAATCTATAAATTTTTTAAATATATTTTTATTGATTTCAGAGAGGAAGGGAGAGGGAGAGAGAGATAGAAACATCAATGATGAGAGAGAATCATTGATTGGCTGCTTCCTGCATGCTCCCAACTGGGGATCGAACCTGAAACCCGGGCATGTGCCCTTGAGTGGAATCGAACCTGGGACCCTTCAGTCCGCAGGTTGATGCTCTATCCACTGAGCCAAACTGACTTGTGCTCAACCTATAATTTTTTTTCATACTACATGGTTTCACCATTATAAGTTGTAATGATAAGATAATATTTCAGTTGGTTTGTAAACCTCCATTAATTTCATCACTTCCTTATTTCTTTCTTACTCTAGTTTCTGTTATTTAAAGATATAGTATAATGAGTAGTTTAATTAATATGTCTTTTCCTAATTGAATTATTTTCTTAGGATGTTCTTCTAGAATTGGTGTTATTAGGACAAAGACTATGAACCCATAAGATGCATTGCTATATGATAACAAATATTTTCCCCTGATATGTGGACAGACAGATTGTTTTTGACCTTCAGTGCATAGTGAGTTACTAACTTAAACATCGACTTTTCACATTAAATATTTTACTTTTAGAATAAAAATTTTGAGGGAATTGATCTAATGGCAGTATCACCATATCCCAAATCGTTTAAAATATGTTTATGTTAGAACTTCTATGAAAAATTTGTTTCTATGAGATAATGGGGGAAAAATGGACAGGTGTGATACCATATCAAAGGTCTGTGAATTTGTAATGAAGCAATTTTATTTGACTCAATGAATGACAAACACCCTGTTTCACTCAAAATAGCACCTGCTCTTTTGGTAGAGAATATGGTGCTCTAAACATCACCTACTTTGCCCGAATACAAACTGCCCATTCTTCCTCCTTGATGATGAGGCTTTCCTAAGTCTGGGTTCATTTGTGCTTGCCATAAATTAACTGAAGGGGAAAATGCTGGCATAAACTTGACTATCAGCATTTGGTTTTGGTTTTGGTTTGTTTTTGAAAATCAAACTGTGTCCAGGGGAGATATTTTAAAATAGTGTTTGGCATTTTCCTTCCTCTGGTGTTTGAAGCTTTCTTGGCTGTTTCATACAGGCCTCAACTTGATTAGAATACTGCTCTAGCTGACCTCTCTTGTTATTGTGTGCTGCTATACTAATCATCAGGTTATAATGAAATGGAGATCTTGTTGTTTATCTTCATTACTGCACCTCAATGTTCTAAATCTTCTCAGCATTGTGGATTAAAAATGTCAAACTTAAACTTACAAAAAAACCTCTTGCCTCTTTACTAGTGGTAATAGTATCTTATGTTATTAAACTCACTGAAGCCATTTCAGTAATTTAAAAACTATAATGTCATTTTAATTTTTGCCTTTTTATTTATAAATTTCTCTTAGACTGCATGCTAAGAAAAAAAACACAAAACAAAACTGGCATCATCCTATATAATAAAAGCCTAATATGCTATGTGTCCAGTCATCCATTCAACCAATCAAAGCATAATATGCTAATGATATGCTAAGGCCGCTCAACTGTTCACTATGAGGTACACTGACTATCGGGGCAGACGCTCCAACTGATAGGTTAGCTTGCTGTTGGGATCTGGCCAACCAGGACTGAGCAAGATGGGCCAGACACACCCTGGAGCCCTCCTGCTGTCCCTCCTGGGCTGGCCAACCTCCCCCGTCCCTCCCTGGCCCTGATCATGCACCAGTGGGCCTGCACTCTCTAGCAATCCGGGACCCCTCGGGGGATGTCGGAGAATCGGTTTCAGCTTGATCCCACAGGCCAGGCCGAGGGACCTCAATGGTGCACAAATTCGTGCACTGGGCCTCTAGTTTACACATAAAATTTGTTTCTAGATCCCCTGAACAAATATTTTGAGTGTATTGAGTTTGCTTTCTTCAGATTACTATTATTTTTGAGGACTCTGTTATCTTTATTTTAGAAAGAAAATGTAAAGAGAAACTGTGGCATAGAGATATCACTATGCCTATCTCATTGGATTGCCTATGTTTATTATCTTTAAGAAGTTGTTACTGTTTCCTGAACACTAACGCAGGCTGAACTTCAGTGAGTGAGTGAAGTCACAGATTATGGGGTTGGCAGCAAATTTGGGGTTGGGAGGCACAGCATGCATGTGAGGGTGAACATTCTCAGTAAGGAGAGCTCTGGGCCTCACTTTCAGTGGCATACACCCTACCTCTGCAACTTCTGAGAATCTTAGCTTATTTCTGCCTCCTCTCAAAGGAGAGAGTATGTAGTCACATCTTCCTCCCAGAGGTTGGGAAATGTTAATGATAAGGTTCATGTCCCCCTTTTGTGGAAGATGGGTCACTTTCTTGGCATGCCTTATTGAAATGTTGTTACTCTCTTTCTATAGCACATCCTGAAAGAAATCATTGCTTCTGTTCCCACATGAAAGATTATTTAAGGAGCACATTCATTCGCTCACTCAGCCAACAGATATTTATGGGGTACTGCCAGTGTGCCAGACCCTATGCTAGATGCTTATGACCCAGCACCAGCAAGTAATTTAAAAAGACACTATTCATGGCCCCCAGGGAACTTAAAACCTAGCAGGAGCAGCAGATATTCCAGAAGATAATATACATGGGAAGTATGTTAGAAAGGAAAAGTGTCAGACGAAGCAGTAGGCACTGTGGTTGCTTTGCCAATATTATTCCACTATAGTTGGTGACTCCAAACCAGAGGCTGGCAGACATTTCTGTAAGAGACAGATAAGTAAATATTTTCAGTTTTATGAACCATATATTCTCTATTTTAACTACTCAGCTCTGCAATTGTAACATGAAAGGTACTTCATGTATGAGTTGGTATGACTGTGTCCCAATAAAACTTTATTTACAAAAACAGGTGGTTGGACTGTAATTTGAAGCCCCCTGATTTCAACCAAAGCATACCCCTGACATGCCAGAAATGTCTTCATTCCAGATGTGCTCCTTTATTGATCCCTTCAGCCCCCAGGTCAGGGCTTAGGTCAGTCCAAGACTCTACACTGAGCAGTCCCATCCAATTATCCTACAGCAGCGGTTCTCAACCTGTGGGTCGCGACTCCTTTGGGGGTCGAATGACCCTTTCACAGGGGTCGCCTAAGGCCATCGGAAAACACATATATAATTACATATTGTTTTTGTGATTAATCACTATGCTTTAATTATGTTCAATTTGTAACAATGAAAATACATCCTGCATATCAGATATTTACATTGCGATTCATAACAGTAGCAAAATTACAGTTATGAAGTAGCAACAAAAATAATTTTATGGTTGGGGGTCACCACAACATGAGGAACTGTATTAAAGGGTCGCGGCATTAGGAAGGTTGTGAACCACTGTCCTAGAGTATGCTACTAAATACTACAATTTTCTTGTTGTGTAGTGTTGTAATATAAGGTTGCAAACACTGTAAATTAATTTTAGTTATCCCACCTCTTAACACTAGCATGCGATGGAAAGCCTTAAGCCCATTTGGGTCAGTGAGACTAGAGGAAATGTTTCCAGAGACTTCTGAGGAAGAAGAGATCACATGCCTAAGGGAGAGGCTCCAGAAGCTATGTTCTCCCTCCCTCTGGTTGTAATCTCTGACCAGCTGGAGTGGTAGGAAGAGCAACCTGGTGGGCAGAGAATTCAGCCGATGGGTAGTCATCCCTGAAGCAGGCCTTCCCTAGGAATTTCCAACATAGTTGACAACACAGTAATTCATTACCTTATTGGGTAAAGTTTTAGGCATGCTTTCTCTTATTTGTAGCTAAAAGCAGCCTGACTGGTATTTTATTTGGTTCTATCACCATTCAAGGGGGCCTGGCCTCACCTGGGAGCTTCTTAAGGAAGTATATTATTTTTAGCTGAGCCCTTAAGGCTGTAGAGGGCTTAGGAAGGTAAACAGTGAGTGTGGGCATTTTTCAGGGTGGCTCGAGGGATAGGTTGCAGAGATCAGGAAGAAGAGCCAGGAAGGAGGCTGAGTGACACTGCAGATCTACTTTAGGGACTGCATCCTTGTTTCAACCAGTTTTAATTCCATGTATCAGCCATGGTAAAAGTAATACTTTAGTTTAGAGAGAGTAGGTGGGGCCTCCTAGGGAAAGAACACTTAAACTGAATCCAGAAATTTAAATAGTAGTTAGGCAAGGAAGGGTCTTCATAAAGAGTTCACATTTGTGTTGTAATGTAATATGATAGGAATCTAATAGAACCTAATTTTTTAAATCCCTCCTTTCTTTAGAAAGGTGATTTTAGGAGAATATTTTTTACCTACCTTG